GTGAGCAGGTGGTGGGACGAGGGGTCAAGCCGCTCCTGGGGACACGTGACCGGCCCCTCACCCTGCGGAAGGGAAACACACAGGAGGAGAGAAGTGGGAGGCAGGCGAAATTCAGCACATCGTTCGTGCAACAATGCGCTATCTCGGACGCGCACATGCACTCTACCTTCCTCTCTTCTCCCCCACATCTCCCGGGCCCGCCCTCCCCTCTTCTCAGAACTCTCCTCTTTGCTCTTCTCTACGTCGCCTCCTTTCTTCCCCTCGTCTCTCTCATCCTTTCGTCTCTCCTTCCTGTTCTTCTCTAAGCCCGGCCCTGCCGTCTTCGGCCTACTCTCTAGCGCATACCGCTGATCGTGTTGTCCCATCCCAACCTCCCTCCCTCTCCGTTGCCGTGAGCTCGCCACCAGTCTTAAAAGGCAAATACACCCTGTTCCCTTATGGCATCTTCTCTTCACACCCCTCCCCCTCCTTTCTTCGCTGATTCCCACTCCCCGGAAACGGAAAATAAGGGAAGAACATCTTGGAGTAGTGAGGAGGGCACTACAGAGAAAGAGTATACTTTATAGGATTTACTCTTATCCAGCAGGAACTCCTCGGGGAATACTATACCGCTTTCTCAAAAGAGAACCGTCATCTATATATACGGTACCGGACCGTGATTTGTTGGCATTAACGAGGACCCAGGCTGATCCTGCTCACTGACTCTAGATTTTCGCATGTCTATCTTGTATTAGGACAAAGATCTCGTTAGAAATAAGCCCAAAGAAGAATTGGATAAGATTAGGAAGAGAGGTGAGAAACACACAATTAAGAAAGAACAGGGATGGAGCTAGAAATTTAAACAGAGGAAGAAAAAAGAAAACAAATTTGATAAGGTGAGGTTAGAGGATAATAGAGAGAAAATCGGTAAACAGATGTAGATTATACAAAATGATTATCGAATTAAATATAATTCACAATATAATAATATTAATAATACAAAATTCTACAGATAAGATAAATTTAATTAATAAATACGAATATATAAAATAAAAAAATAATTAAGAAAAATTTTAAGCTAATGGATATAATACATTGTGATGAATTAGAATACAGTTTAAATATCTAAGCAACATATCCAAAATAAATACAATAGATAATAATTTAGCATAAATGATTGTAACAATATAGTGTAAAACAATAAAAAATAATATGGTAGAAAATATATGAGCACAGTAGAATATTATGGTGTAAGTGAGATATGTACAAGAAATAAACAAAAAACAACCAACTAACTTTAAGGAAATGTAAAAAGGTGAACATTATTTAGTGAAAGGAAGAACTACAACATGATATACAGAATTTGAAGGATTCAACACGTAATTAAACTTGTGGGGAACATAATTAATTGTTTGGTTTTGATGGTCTCACTAGATAAAATTCAGCAAAAAGCTAAGAATTGAACATTCCTGGCCATAATAGAGTCAGCCTGCAACCATAACCTAGATAGGAATGCACGTACCTCGCGGGGAGTGTGTAAGGGTCGCAACAGTGCTAACTCTGGTGCCAGGGATACAATTCCACGCGAAAAGACTTACTGGGGATCACACGTTACATAGCAAGCAAGAGCGAGCAAGGAGTCCACTTTTGGCGAATTGCGCTCGTGTAGCAGATTCTCACCGACAAATTGTGTATACTGGTGTGTGTGGCCCGGCGAGCAATTATTCGGGGGGAGGTTGCACTCGCAGATCGGGCACGCGCCAAGACTTATTTACTCCTCCCTCGGCCCGTGGCACATTTAGATCCAAAATTCACTGTTATCACGGTTTGTTTCTGAGCGAGGATTTGAGATTTTGTGCTAAACACCCCGCAGATTATTCCACTTCGCCGTAAGATTGTTTCTTACTCTCATGTGTGGGTAGGGAAGTGGGATGTTTTAAAAGGGGAAACCCGACGAGCAATTCTTGTTTTGTTTTTTTATTTTTTATTTTTTTTTATTGTTATATTGTTCGGTGATTTCTCCACACCATCTGTTATTCTCTTATGGTTCTCAATAGGCGGCAAGATCCATCCAACATTCCTCCATATTTATGGTGGGACCTGGGAGGTTGAAGGATTTATTCCACATTCTCATCATGATTTCTCTGGATTTTAGGTTAAAGCTCTGATGAAATGATATGAAGATGAAGATAGGCTATTCTGGACCAATCAATTAGATGTGTATATTAATACACGTCTGGTTGATTCACTCGGCCGTGCGTGTAATGCGTGAGATACCATAACAGTTTAGAACAAAAACTTTTTTTTTCCACCCCCCTTGTCACTTTCTCTGGCAGGTTGCGTGATTTATTACTTGGCTACTGTGATATCAGTTCCAGAAAATCTCAGCAGAGTAATTTTAGAGTAACTTTTAATTTGGTGTGGACATATTCTAGTTAACCTTGGTATTGTTATAATTCTAAGAACAAAACACGTTTAAAAGATCCATTGGTGGAATGAGACTCCCCATCAGTCTTTGCTTGTTTTGCTCTTATTATGTGCATTACTCTGGATTTGACTATTAGACATAAACTATATTCTAACGCTTTTATTATTATTATTATTATTATTATTAATTATTAATTATATTATTCCATTAATATTAGGTGTGATTGGGCTAAAGATGACCATCATATATATATGTGATGTAGATTCACGTCTTTTTCGGCGATTAGCTTTACTTCTACACACTCGTTCCTGCAGATGTATATTCTTTTTCCCAGCCCTTTTTAACTCTCCTACCTCTCGAGGTATCCTGATTCGCAAACACACTGATCACCTTAGAAATTACCCCCTGCAGCCGTTCCTATAGGTTGAAATTCTAGTGGAACACTCCGTAATCTATCTGACAATTGCACCACAACAAATAAAATCTACATTTTCTACTCACTCACTCTCACTCTCGGTGGGGCCTTCACCCCCACGATTCCCACCTTCACTGATTTAAGACCACACAGCATTTCACTCCACCTATCATCGCCCCCCCTCACCACCAAGCGACATCCGCCACACATCCGGGTGACCTGATTAAAGATTCATGCTCCTTCTATTTTTATAATCTTATTATCTTTTCTACCATTCAATATTTTATACAGATTTTTCCCACATAATCTAGTTACAGCACTTTTGACACTGATGGTATGTAAATCCACACCCCAATACATCCTGCTACAAGAACACGAGATAAGTGGTAAAGGTAATTGGGAGAGTGGGGAATGGGGGGGGGTATGAAGGAGAAGTGGATAGAATGTGTTTCGGAGGAAAAGAGGGAGAGGAAAAGTGAGCGATAGGTGGATGATAGTTAGCAGTTTTGCAGCAAGTAATCATGTCATGAATCTTATATTAAAAATGTGAGTCAAAAATGAGATTTAAGTGGCAGGCAGAGAGAAGATAGTTTTTGAGGTTTGACGAAGTGAATGAGTACGAATATGAGAATATGTTGAATAGTAGGATAAAGGATGTAGACGCATAGTGGCGACAAAACAGAGAAAGGCGCAGTTGAAAGGAAAACGAAGAAGAGAAAGAGGAGACAATGTGAGTTGTTGCCGTGCATAGAGGGTGGAATAATGGAAAGAGAGGAGTGGTGTGTAGTACCACAGTCGAGGGGTCTCGAGGGGAGAGAGTAGGGTGCAGAGGGGAGTAGAGTATTGAGAGCACGTGGAAAAGAGGGGATGGGGATAGTCAGCCTAGCTGAGGGCCAGCGGTAGAGCCTGGCTGACTAATCAGCTAGAAACCCGGGAGGCCAAGGGCAGAGGGAGTGGTTTTAAGAGAAGAGGGGAAGAGGGGGGGAAAGGCAGAGGGGAGTGGGTTGAAGAGAAGAGGGAGGGAGGAGCGGCGTGGTGATTAGGAGATCCTGGGGCTTAACCACGAGGGGAGTGGGTGGCTGTGTAGGCATGAAGAAGGCTGGCTAAGCCGAGCTGAAAGCTGGAGAGCCTAGCCTGTGGCCAGAGGAGCGAGGCTAGGGGCAAGGTCGACGGGAGGGCGCAGGGCCGATCGCCGTGGGCCTGTAAGCCTGCCTATTCTGATCTAATGTGAGCAATAGAGGCCGGGTATGACCTAGCCATAAGGCTAGAGCGTAGCCTTATTCTACGCTAGTGTAGGGCCTATTCTAGCCTAGTGGTCGCCTATTGCCTTGCTTAGCTTATTACTAGGGCGTGAGAGGGGCAATAGGGGGAGTTCTATGCGGCTGATTTCTTTTTATAGGAGCACCTGAAACGCGCAGGAAGAGGGCGCGACAAACGCGCAACCCGAAAGGCCAAAGGAAGGCCCAGGAACAGCTGGAGGTTCCCAATAAGCACCATGAGAGACAAGCCCAACCAAACCCAACGCAGCCGGAAGGCAACCCAACCACAAACGCGGGGCACCCAAAAACCGCATCGGGGCAGCACCGAGGTCGAGCTGGGTTAGCATCCCATCGAGAGAAGCCATAGCCACGTGCCCATCGACAGATCAGGGGACCATCAGGCGCAGCACATCCGGCGGAATGCTGGGCTTATTTCGAGAGCATACAACAAGACACGGGGCAACACCAACCCAAAGCCGCAAGAAGGGGCCAGACACGGGCACATTGAGGCCTTAACGAAAACCACAGAAGAACAGCACAGAGGACGAGGGGGCACAGCGCCAACCGCCAACCCAACCCCAACGCGCCCAGAGCCCAAAGAGGCGAGAACCGTGGCTATAAACGACGAGAACGCAAACCGCAACCCCAACCCAACCCCAAGCGCCAACCCAACCCCCGAACCCCAAACCAACCTAAGGAACAGCTATATCGCTGAAATTTTATGGTTGTTTTGAGATAGATGTGAGCTGACTGGGGAATCAGTAGAATGGTGTCTTTGGGGAGGATTGTTAGAGGGTGCTGTTGTGCTTTAACATTCATAAGGAATGATGAGAGATGCAGTTATGTCAAATGCTGGGTGTTATACCTAGATGAGGAGGGCTGCAAGTAAGATGAGAGAGGAAAGGTATTACCACGTTGT